TTTATATATATATATATATATATATATATATATATATATATATATATATATATATATATATATATATATATATATATATGCATGGAAAATATAAGTTTTTCAATTCTACTTATTCTCACAAGGTACAAGCCGTCATTTCAAGGAAATTTTAAAAAATTTGCTTAGTTTTTCAGTAAAACAACTAAGAGTAGTTGACTCAATCAGCACACAAACCCAAGCAATAACTTAAGGTGACTCCCTAGGGTTTTATTTCCGGGGGTTACGTTCTTCGTATATATGTAAACTAAAACTCGTGTGACTTCAAAATACAAACGAACGTTGTGTTTTTATATGGAACTCTTTTTTGGAACAAAAGTGTAAACTTTGCTTTAGTTGAAAGCATAAAAAGAGTTCTAAAAGCCAAAACGATACTTGGATGTGATGTTTCAAAAGAAGATAATGTAAACTTTTTTTTCCCAGCGGTATTCCGGAAGTTTTTTAATTTGAACCGCCGTACCGCGAGGTTCGATTGCGAACATTGGGATATGAAATAAAGTTTCCTCAAGAATTTCAGTGTTTTCTCCACAATCTAGCAGCACTTATATGACAATAAAGATGACTTACGTAATGAGCCCTCTACGGGTGAATTGAGCAGGGCCGAAACTCCAAACATACCACTATAAAAACTGAAATTTCAACGGGCATTTTGCGAAAACATCCGACGTATGTACTAACTCGCACGGGACGAATTTTGCCAAACATTTTTCGAATTAATACCAAGAAGTCATAACCAGTAATTACCTAAACATCTTTGCCAATTTTACATGTATAATCCACGCTTAGTTGACCATTAACCGACACAGTTATAAACAGTATATCAAACATAATTTATATTTTGTGATTCCAAAAAGTCATGCCTTGTTGTTTTAAGGAAGCCTCACATATCGATTTTGTTCATGAGAAACGTCATATGTTCGTTTCTCCGGAGATCCCACCCCCTTAAAAACGTCATACGCATAGTTATCCATATTTTGTTTTTTTAATATAGTACACATAAGGTAATTTTCTACTATTTTTTTCGGTCGGCTATTGGCGATGCTTCCGCAAGGAATATTTTATTAATATATAAAAGATATATATATATATATATATATATATATATATATATATATATATATATATATATATATATATATATATATATATATTTTATTAATATATATGTAATCTTATTAAAATTTGAGTGTTTTCAAATGCAAAGAATGCGTAATAATATAAATGTATAGGAATAGAACAGGTATGGTATTACGAATATATAGACTACTGTTTGTATCAAATTGTTTTCTTTTTTATACTCTGCAAAGATAAAAACTATCGATTTTTCCCATGATGTTTACAGAGAAACGTCACAACTGCCAATCCCCCACCCCCAAACAAACATATGATGTTTCTCGTTGAAAAAATCGATATGTGAGGCTTCCCTTATGCAGAATGCGTGTACACGTCAGTTGGGGTATTAAATTGTTCGCGTAAAAATCTAGTAAAAATTGCCAAAATTAAACCCAAATTTCTCTGTTTTCCTTCGGTAAAAATTTTTAAAACTGCACATTTTTTAATATCGGCACAACAAGTGCAATATCCTTTTTTCTTAAAATTAAATCGAAGGGAAAATTTTTAATATTGAGTTTTGACGTTTTTTAAATTTTCTAAGAAACGTATCGATTTAATTTTTTTAAATTGAGGGGAAAAAATAATTATACAAGTATTATCTTTTATGCAAAGTTTTAAAAAATTTTACCGAAGGGAATTTTTAAAATGACCTGAAAAAGACAAATTTTGAGCTTTATTCTAAGCATGCTGTTGCCATGACAACATATTTTTAACACAAAAGAAGTAATTTGCAATGTTTAGAAGAACATTGTCAATGTGTCCAATAAATTTCGTTTTCATGTCATGTAAAGTAAAGAAACAAGAGTCTCCTAAATACTATAGTGTAATAAATTAAAAAACCCTAGGAAGTCACCTTAATTTGGACAAACAAAATAAAATTGACATGCGATATTCAACAGAGCATAATATATAGGCTATTATTATCTAAACGTACGCTTCACCAAAGATTGACCTAACAACAACTGCATGCATACGACTACGATTGACTATGTTACACAGTCTATGAGTAATGTGAATGATATCATAGACATATAGTCAAGGAAGTAACAAAAACTACTTTCTTCTTTAGTCAAACAAACGCACATGCATCGTTTCCACAAGGGCAGTATTGAATTAATCACATATTTTATATTCCCAACTGTACGATCGATCAACCTATCATCAAAAATAATTTCCTCGGCTAAAAGACGGAAACGGACTCGCAATTTTAGCAGCTGCATGCATGGAAGGGAAACTTGTAAAACATTTGGTTAAAGAAGTTCGCATGCACGCATACCGCACTTGACTTCATGTCTATATATATAAACAAAAATTGAACTCCATTTGTCAAAATCGTATTTTGATTATAGACATTTAATTCCTCCCTATACTGAGTACTGGGAAAACACCTGCTGTAGCCGTTACGTCTTCCGGCATTCGTCGCAATGCGCAAACAGTTTGGATTCTATAGTTTTCCAGTTCAAGTCTATAGATGTCATGTAGTCTGCATGTATCAAATCGTACAAATTCAAATATTAATGAAGAAAGAACAATGGTAAATTAAAATAATTAATATTCTGGTTTGTTTTTATTCTCACATTCTAGGGAACAAGATCAACAAGATGCACAGAGCCCTTTGAAAATTTTGCCTCGAACTATCGTCCAAGCTAGATTACATGCACGCGCCTATTTAACAATTAGACAACGAAGCCGAGTTGTCTATGATGAGCGAATAGTCAACCAGGCGAAGCCGAGTTGACTATTCGTTCACAGACAACCAGGCTGAGTTGTCTAATTGTTTTAGTATAAACGACATAATGAAAACGGAATTTTTCACTTGATTATTATGTAAAATGATAATGTTTTAACGAAATGAGCGTTTAAATGGCTTCTTTTGGCGACATTTCGCCTCGGCTTTGTTGACAACTACTCAGTGTTGCAAACTCCCAAGAATGACTTGAAAAATACAACTTGTGAGTTTTAAAAAAGTTAAAAAACATGTCGTAAAACAGTATAATAGTAAGAGACCGTTATAGAAGCAAAGTTTGTTTAATTAAAAGGAAACAAGGCTTCAAAAGTCCAAAATTTCGAACACAAAATGGCTTCCCGAATTGTCACTAGCTAAATTAGTAAATAAGTTTACGTTAAAAAGCCGTATAAAAATGCACATACAAAAGAATCCGACTCTCCGAATGTCGTTGAAATTTTTAAAATATGTGGAACATAAAGAGGCAAACCATTTGCATAATCTAGTATAGCCTACATAGACAATTAATAAAGATCAATAAATAGTTTTGATTATAAAACTGAAATCTTAATTGAAAAACTCGACTTATAAAAGGCTCGAAAAGGTGAAAACAAACTCGGCCAAAATCTCAACATTTAAACGAAAAGCTCCTTAGAATGACAGCTAAATACATAAACTCGTACTTAAAACAAGAACACAGTAAAGAGGTTGAGAAAATAGGGGTAAATATAGGTACAAAGTATTGTTGAATTTCAACGATTCTGCTTGGAATATTAACAAACATTAATTGTGCATATATTAAAAAAATCGCCTGTCAGTTTCATGCTTTAATTAAAACAACGAGCAAAGTTGAAAAAACTTAAAAAATTTACAGCATGTGTCAGCAGTTTCTAAGAGTCTTTGTTTGTGTGTAATCCAGAACCAAAATTAGGCCATTTTGAATAAGCTTTTCCCCTTTATAAATGCAGCTTTTATTACTTAATTTAAAAACGGCCATTGACTCTCGCGGCCTTCGCCGCTTGTTGTTACTATATAGTAGGCTATCACTAATAGCCTACTATTAGCGTAGCCAATCAGAACGCACGATACATGCTAGCCTACTAGTACGTTTATACTAAATATATATAGCTATATATTTCTTACGATAAAACGCAAACTCAAATTTTTCAAATTAATAGAAGTTAAAAATGCATCGATCAAAAGAACTTCCCTCCGGCATTTCCAGCCGTGCTCTCTTCCTTTCCATATGTTTATGCCTGCATCTCGTCCTTCGTAGAATTTCTTTTCTCAGCCATCGGCATCGGGTCTTCACTCACACTGCTGTCTTTTTCTTTGCAGCCCCTGCTAACGCCACAATCCAAAGATTTTGATATTTCTATTTTTGTTTTAATATCGGGTCTTTCATATTTCTGCAACGATCTTATGTCGCGATGACCCGAGTCCTCTCCATGACGAACTTTAATAAACATCTCTTTGTCGCTGTTTGTGTCGTTCATAGTTTAACCACCGCTCACTCCCCATGCATGCATACATGCATACCTGAAGAAAGTGGTCCATCTACATGTCTAACTAAATTTCTATATGAATTCACAGTATGCTGTACGAACAATCATTTGGAATATTAATTAATTTTCCTAGCTAATTAACAAAATATGACTGCTATAAGTGTTTACGAGGTAGACAAAACATATAGAATGCTTTAACGTATACTGACAAAAGAAAATTTACAAAGCGTGACTTTCCTTAATTTTCTTTTGTTTTCCTTAACCTATTCTTAGAGCCTTGTGCATGCACTTGATCATTCACTGCATGATCTGCATCGCCTTGTTCTGCCTACATGCATGTAGCTTTGAATTCCTTAATGAGTAGTGGGCGTAAGTATGATCACATTTTTTTGAAATCCTTACAAATTTGAACTAAATTAGTTAATTACCTCGAAAATCGGTTTCTTAGCGAGAAACATCCTTCGGGAGCGTAGCCCTCAGAAAGCATTCCTCGGGTCACGCCCCTCGGGTTGTTTCTCGCTAAGAAACCTAGTTCTCGGTAATTAACTCTTATTTTAATCATGACATTTGTCAGTTTTCAAATCAATTAATAGCCATAGCAACCATAAAAATAGGTACGTTGTAGCGTACATGGCATCTACTGGATAAAAAACAAAGAATGTCAGTGCCGTCCGGTTTATATTTACATCACCGATTTTCGAGTGGGGAAGATTAAAATATCTCGGCAAGTATTTACTCACCCTTTAAAACAAAAACCACCATTGCAATCCTCATAAAAAAACCTTTCGAACGGTGGGTCAAAGCCGTCATAACATTACACAAACCAAAACAATCGTATATTTACTCACCGCTTGGCCAAACATTCTGTACTTCAATAGAAGTGAAATACTCCTTGTATTCAAGTGCCGACTAGAAATATTTATTTTGAATTTTTCGGAATATCGGGTTGTTACTGGCACGCGCGTGTCACGCGCTAAAATTGGCCAATAATAAGCACCGGAGCCCCGATGCACGTGCAAATCACGTTACATGAAAGGGTAATATAACCCTTAGAATCGATCTCCGACGTTCCCCGAGTGCCAGGATGTAAAGTTGTAAACATCGCATTGTTTCAATATGTCAAGGTGGTCAAGCTGTATTTCCGGTCGAAGCTCTCGTGTAAAATTTAGATATTCTGAAATACCGAAATAAAAGTTGCAAATCTGTAGATACAAACTTGAAAATAACACTCTAAATAGTGTCTTGGATTCTGATTCGAACAAGAATATTACAAAAATGATAGGTTGAAAGGGGCCAAAGTTATACTCGGCGAAAGGTATGGCTTAGTGATACATTGTCGTACATTGTTTACATTGTTCGAGTGTATTGTGTATAGGTAGAGTATAGCTAGCGTTTACATTGTTCGAGTATGGCTAGTTTATATTTTATGGCTATTTTACATTGTTCGATCGATTTTGGTGATATTTTCGTATTTCTACTGGAAATACTCGCGGAATTATTTTCGTATTTCTACTCCAAATATTCGCGGAGGCCGGACGGCATTGATAAAACTATTTATCGTAAACAGTTCGGAAACTTTCGTAGATGCGCGGGCTTTAACCTAACCAAAGGGCCTGTTCGCAGGAGAAGTGACCCGTCCACTCTATATAACGATATAACGTTCCAAACCTCTTGTCGGCCGCATATGGCGACTACTGTTCAAGTCGGACGCCAAAAACTAGTAGAAGCATAGGTAGCCCAGACACACTGTGCGATTTAAATTTCAATGCTTGGCATACTTAACTACCTCCTGCGGTTTCGACCTCGAAATAATAATGTTAACGATTAATTAGCTGAAAAATATTCTGAATTTTTACACTAAAATGTACCACTTATCAATACTTCTGCCTTTCCTTCCTGTCAAAGGAAATATACTTAGATACATAGCATGCATCAGCAAAAATAAATAGTTTATACCTTTAGTAGAAGCACTTGAAATCCAGTTCTAAATCGGTTGATTTTAAAGCTGGATTTCAAGTGCTTCTACTAGAGTAAAAGTATAAAATATTTATTTTTGTTGATGCATGCTATGTACCTAAGTATATTTCCTTCAACGGTATTGATTAGTGATACATTTTAGTGTAAAAATTCAGAATATTTTCGATCTAATCGTTAACATTATTATTTTGAGGTCGAAACCACAGGAGGTAATTATAAGTATATGCCACGCATTTAAATTTAAGTCGCACAGTGTGTCTGGGGTACCTATGGTAGGAGCAGCCACAGGTAAAAATAGGTACGCGACGCGTACATGTATCTGCGAAAAAACTTGATTCATATTTTGTATTTTCTTAAAAGAAACTGAATAATGAAGATGACATGGGACAATTGAAATATTTTATCACTTATTATTATAGCAGATAAGATTTAAAACAGGGCTGTACACAGCGGGGAGTGCAGCAAGGCAAGTGCTTCCTCCCCCCCCCTCCCCCCCCCGAAAAAAACTTAACTTCATTTCATGCAAATTCCATGCAAACAATATTCAGAGAAAATTTCATGCAAACAATATTCAAAGTGTCTATACAGCCGGCTATTTAGTAAACTGTCACCTGTCAATTCAATCTATACTCATCAAATTTTCAAAACTTTATTGTAATCAAGTTATGTCACTTGTTGTTTACACTTGCCAATGTTAACTGTTGAGTAACTTACACAAAATATTTGGTGAACATGTCGAAGATCACTGAATAATTGAGAATGTTTTGAAGGTCATGAGTGAAGTATTATAATTAAATTCCAGTTATGTGCACAGTTATTAATGATCTACCACACTGTTCGGTTTAACACATACAGCACATTCACACAAACACAATTGTGTTGTAAGAGATTATCGGTTTGAGCAGAAGGTATCACAAGTTCAGTTTTGTACATTGTGTGCCACTGATCAAATCCATTTAATGAATTTAGGTAAGATTGTCTTGCAAGTTGGTCGTTCTGACAAAATTATCCAGCCAATATCCAGTACATTTATTCATCATTCTTGTATTAATCTCTAAAGAAATATATTTATATTAGAAAGCAAAATAACAATGTAATGAGGCTCGGGAGGGTGAGGATTCTTTTATTTGAAAATGTTGGAAAAATTTTGTTTATTTAACTCTAATGTGTAAAACCAAAACGTATAAGTATTTTAACTGATAGCATCTTCAACCTTTGCTCTAACACTACATTTGATGACAGCTTTATAGTTGGACTGTTGTTTTGAACAGAGTTACGGAGTCAACATACAGAAATACAGGACCAGGATTTAATTCAATATCTCCTGAGAACTGTCCAATAGGTTCATTTGATATTGTTAATTGGCAATATTGCCTGCTATGTTTTCACTGTTTAAAATATTACAGAAGTCACAGAAGGTTTGTTTTTAATTTTGTGAACTATGTTGACAAATGGCTTAAAATATCCTCGAAAATATCCAATATTTTATACGGTGTAATATATTAATAAAAAATTCCAGAGTGCATTCCATGTAAACTCTACGCCGAAGATACGGCAATATTAACTATAGATAGTATAGTAAATATTTGCCGAACTGGCGAACTCATGTATTAATATAAAGTGGGACATATATTTGCACAAATTTGGTATTTAAATATATAATCTGTGGTATTTGGCTACTTACCAGATGAAGATTCCATGTTGATAAATAACTTCGGAATAATATCGCAAGTAGAATGGCGATTCAAGTTAAATTGATAAATATATCAAGATATTTTTGAAAGAATATAAACACGATTTATACACGAGGCCTGACGAGGCTAAAGTATGCCCGTTCGCAAGTTAGATGGGGGAACGATGTAAACAATTGATGTAAACGAATCGCTGATTGGCTTAAATTAACTTAAATTGGCTTAAATTATATAAGCTCATCGCTGAATGACTGTATGTTAACATACGGTACGGTAACATTAACGGCACGTTTCCGATAGCATATATATATCTGCTTCGCAGATACAAAAACACCCAATGCATATATGATAAATCAAATCACACTTTTTTCGCATGTAATTTCAAGATACTATGCCCATGAAAAAGCTGCTACAAAAATAATAAATTAGACAAAACTTCACTGTAAACAGTCAGTGAAATATTCTCATACTATTCACTGTACTATATACTTATTTTCATTTGTATTATTTGCAGATGATACTAATATATTTTATAGTAACAAATGTATTAAAACAATTAATGAAATTATGCAAACAGAAATTAATAAAGTAGCCGAATGGCTGAATGTTAATAAATTATCCCTAAATACTAATAAAACTAAATTTATTCTGTTCAGATCTTCCAATAAAAAAACAAAATATGACGTTAAAATTGCCATAAATGATAAAAATGTTGAACAAGTTAAAAGTACAAACTTTCTTGGTATAATTATCGATGAATGTTTGACCTGGAATAATCATATAGCTAAAGTAGCAAAGAAAATTATTAGAGCCTCTGGCATAATATCAAAAATGCGTCATTTCGTAAATAGAAATGGAATTAAGCTGATATACTATGCGTTGGTCTATCCATACCTTATTTACGGAAATTTAATTTGGGGTAACACCTACAAAACTCGGATTAAAAAAATAATGAATATTCAAAAAAAATTGTACGGTTGATGACGTTTAAGTAGTATATGGAACACACTGAGCCGATTTTTAAAGAAATAAACATCTTGGATATCTTTAAATCAATGACTATTTAACTGCCATGTTCATGTTTCGATATCACCATCTTAAAAATCTACCTGAAGAATTTGATAATTTTTTTGTGAGTAATAATCAAATTCACCAGCATAACACGAGAAACGCATCCAAACTTTACAAGCAATATAAAAGAACAAACTATGCAAAGCATACTCTTTCTAATAAAGGTGCTGATGTATGGAACTTACTAGAATCATATATCAAAGATATAAACTCTTGCACTGCTTTCAAAAAACAAGTTAAACAGCATTATTTATTGAATTAGAAATAGGATTCAAATTCAAAAATATGCATTCTATTTACATATTATATAGTGATAGAGACTAGTGTCAATATGCCTTTATATATGACTTATATTTGTACTGTAATTATTTTGCTTTATAGTTCTTTCCTTCCTTTTGTAAATAATACACTCTAAGATAATTGTTTTTCTGATTTTACTGTAAATATATTAATTAATAGATGACAATGAACTATAACTAGGGGCCTAAATTAAAAAGCCTGTTAAGGTTTCTAGTAGGTCCCTAGCCCAATATTAATAGAAAATATTTGTAAATATTAACTAAGCTGTACATAGGGGAAAACTAAATAAATAAATAAAAATATACAATATGCAGTGGAATATATAGGTTTGCCCATGTGTTTCTTATAAACTGCATTTGTTTGCGATTCAGGGGAACTATATAAAAATAAAATGAATAATATATGGCAAACACCTAGAATCGTGGACAATTATTGCAAGAAACAATCCATGTTTGTATAAATGAAAGACAAACATGCATGCAGGGACATTTATACTCATCATGCATGCACTGAGGAACCAGTTTCCTCCTAACAAGTTGCAAGTCTGGTTTCCATAAGGTCGTAACGGTCGTAAAGATTGAGGTACGATCTTTCTCATCAGCCGAAATACAACATTTTAGACTGTAGCTATATCGGAGTGATTATAACCGGAGAATATACCTATATTTATATGGGTATTCTGGCCGTTGAGAAAGATCGTGATTCTATTTTTATTACGACCATATGAAAAGCAGGCTTTAAAATAAGGCCTGTTATTTAGACTTGGACTGGAAAACTATAGAATCCAAACTGTTTGCGCATTGCGACGAATACCGGAAGACGTATAGCTACAGCATGTGTTTTCCCAGCAAGTAGGAATTAAGCCGATTGTTGATGAATGGTAATCGAATGCATGCATACATGCAGTCACGTGAGCATGTTTATAATCAAAATACGACTTTGACAAATGGAATACTTTTTTTATTCGTACATTTACAGTCAAATGTTACATTTACAGTTAAAATGTTTTTTCATTTTATTTCAATGCATGCAGCAGTGCTAAAATTGTGAGCCTGTTTTTGACAGTTGTTGCTGTCTGTTGTTATAGGTCAATCTTTGCTGAAGCGGACGTTGTAACATTGTAGTCAATAATATCTTAGACATGCATTATATACACAGGATGTAGTATTTTGCTGAAACGTGTATATTTAAGGAATAGCTAAGGTATTGTGGTAATCTGTGGTATTAGGCTACTTACCAGATGAGGATTCCATATTGATAAATAATTTCGGAATAATGTCGCAAGTAGAATGGCGATTCAAGTTAAATTGATAAATATATCAAGATATTTTTGAAAGAATATAAACACGATTTATACACGAGGCCTGACGAGGCTAAAGTATGCCCGTTCGCAAGTTAGATGCGGGCACGATGCAAACAATTGATGTAAACGAATCGCTGATTGGCTTAAATTGGCTTAAATTATATAAGCTCATCGCTGAATGACTATATGTTAACATACGGTACGATAACATTAACGGCACGTTTGCGATAGCATATATATCTGCTTCGCAGATACAAAACACCCAATGCATATATGATAAATCAAATCACACTTTTTTCGCATGTAATTTCAAGATACTATGCCCAAGAAAAAGCTGCTACAAAAATAATAAATTAGACAAAACTTCACTGTAGACAGTCAGTGAAATATTCTCATATTATTCACTGTAGCCTATATACTTATTTTCATTTGTATTATTTGCAGATGATACTAATATATTTTATAGTAACAAAAGGATTAAAAAATTAATGAAATTATGCAAATAGAAATTAATAAAGTAGCCGAATGGCTGAATGTTAATAAATTATCCCTAAATACTAATAAAACTAAATTTATTCTGTTCAGATCTTCCAATAAAAAACCAAAATATGACGTTAAAATTGCCATAAATGATAAAAATATTGAACAAGTTAAAAGTACAAACTTTCTTGGTATAATTATCGATGAATGTTTGACCTGGAATAATCATATAGCTAAAGTAGCAAAGAAAATTATTAGAGCATCTGGCATAATATCAAAAATGCGTCATTTCGTAAATAGAAATGGAATTAAGCTGATATACTATGCGTTGGTCTATCCATACCTTATTTACGGAAATTTAATTTGGGGTAACACCTACAAAACTCGGATTAAAAAAATGAATATTCAAAAAAAATTGTACGGTTGATGACGTTTAAGTAGTATATGAAACACGCTGAGCCGATTTTTAAAGAGTTAAACATCTTAGATATCTTTAAAATTAATGACTATTTAACTGCCATGTTCATGTTTCGATATCACCATCTTAAAAATCTACCTGAAGAATTTGATAATTTTTTTGTGAGTAATAATCAAATTCACCAGCATAACACGAGAAACGCATCCAAACTTTACAAGCAATATAAAAGAACAAACTATGCAAAGCATACTCTTTCTAATAAAGGTGCTGATGTATGGAACTTACTAGAATCATATATCAAAGATATAAACTCTTGCACTGCTTTCAAAAAACAAGTTAAACAGCATTATTTATTGAATTAGAAATAGGATTCAAATTCAAAAATATGCATTCTACTTACATATTATATAGTGATAGAGACTAGTGTCAATATGCCTTTATATATGACTTATATTTGTACTGTAATTATTTTGCTTTATAGTTCTTTCCTTCCTTTTGTAAATAATACACTCTAAGATAATTGTTTTTCTGATTTTGCTGTAAATATATTAATTATTATATAACAATGAACTATAACTAGGTGCCTAAATTAAAAAGCCTGTTAAGGTTTCTAGTAGGTCCCTAGCCCAATATTAATAGAAAATATTTGTAAATATTAACTAAGCTATACATAGGGGAAAAAATTAAATAAATAAATAAAAATATATAATATGCAGTGAAATATATAGGTTTGCCCATGTGTTTCTTATAAACTGCATTTGTTTGCGATTCAGGGGAACTATATAAAAATAAAATGAATAATATATAGCAAACACCTAGAATCATGGACAATTATTGCAAGAAACAATCCCTGTTTGTATAAATGAAAGACAAACATGCATGCAGGGACATTTATACTCATCATGCATGCACTGAGGAACCAGTTTCCTCCTAACAAGTTGCAAGTCTGGTTTCCATAAGGTCGTAACGGTCGTAAAGATTGAGGTACGATCTTTCTCATCAGCCGAAATACAACATTTTAGACTGTAGCTATATCGGAGTGATTATAACCGGAGAATATACCTATATTTATATGGGTATTCTGGCCGTTGAGAAAGATCGTGATTCTATTTTTATTACGACCATATGAAAAGCAGGCTGTAACATAAGGCCTGTCATATAGACTTGGACTGGAAAACTATAGAATCCAAACTGTTTGCGCATTGCGACGAATACCGGAAGACGTATAGCTACAGCATGTGTTTTCCCAGCAAGTAGGAATTAAGCCGATTGTTGATGAATGGTAATCGAATGCATGCATGCATGCAGTCACGTGAGCATGTTTATAATCAAAATACGACTTTGACAAATGGAATACTTTGTTTATTCGTACATTTACAGTCAAATGTTACATTTACAGTTAAAATGTTTTTTCATTTTCTTTCAATGCATGCAGCAGTGCTAAAATTGTGAGCCTGTTTTTGACAGTTGTTGCTGTCTGTTGTTATAGGTCAATCTTCGCTGAAGCGGACGTTGTAACATTGTTAGTCAACAATATTTTAGACATGCATTATATACACAGGATGTAGTATTTTGCTGAAACGTGTATATTTAAGGAATGGCTAAGGTTGTTCTTACTCATACATTTGAAGAGAGAGATAGAGAATTACATGTACATCTACATAAAGATATATACTTCTCACGAATTAGTCAACAAGTATAACTGCTATTTCATCCAAGAAAACTGCTTTATTCAATTAAAAGTGAGTAATTTTAAATTTTAAATTTTAAATTTTAAATTTAGACTGTAGCTATATCGGAGTGATTACAATCGGAGTTTATATCCCGAAACAGGCGAAATGTATACTATATAATTTATTGCAGGTTTATTTTATTTTTATATTTATTTAGCTCTTCGCGCTCAGGTACATTAATGCCTGGGTCTCAGTTTGTGTATTTAGCGAAAATAGACAAAAATCATGAAAAAATAAGTATGGCCTTGATTATTACCATTCAAGTTTTATATGATTTATCAAAGGAGATTCTAAAAATTGTCAGTTTTCTAGTCATATGTTTGAAATTGACAAAACTTCTGAAAAGGGTTGAAAAACCATGAAAAAAGCCACGATTCGCAACTGTCCAATAGGTTCCTGTCCAATGTCGTAAAATATTGGATCGGCACGTGACCCTCTCAACGATTACTGATTGGTTTAGTGCGTGTGAGTGTATAATAAATATATTTATATATATTTATATTATTTCCATGCAGTTTGAAGTAAATATATTTGTGTCTTCACTTTCAGCCTGGATATGACGCGTCTACCACTTGTCAGCTTTCTTTGTTTGTTAACAATTTTGGAGATTTCTGCTGCAAAAACTGAGAAAATCAGTTCTGAAACAAACATTCATGAGATGCCCTACTGGATTCAAGATGCATTGTTTGAGTAAGTATAAATTAAGTTAACTAAGTATTTTCATCACAAATTATGCAATTTAAGGTATAAGAATTAATGACCGAGAATTTAAGGTATAAGAATAGTTAAGTCATGCTAACTCAAGTATATAACTAAATTAAATGTTCCAATGGACAACTTGCACGTTAGACTGAATTTTAATCTAACTAAAGAAAAGGGAATAAAACACAACAGTTAAAACGAAAATAATGAAATTAGTAAAATTGCAAAATATGGTTGCGAAATGTTGTAAAATGCAGTAAATATAGCCTTGCGAAGTTTGCATATTTTGAGCTGATATTTGTATTACGTGCGGGAATTGTTACCATTTTCGGCTCAAAAATGGTTATAACAATTTCCGCACGTAATACAAATATACTGAAAATATGCAAACTTCGCAAGGCTATATTTTCTTCATTTTACAACATTTGGCAACCAAATTTTGCTATTTTACTTATTTTAATAAGTTCTTTATACGGGAATTTACGGGGTTTTTTCCTAAATCAAAAAATAGTCTAACTTGCCGGTTGTCTATTGGATACGATGGCTGAGAAGGGCCATGACTGTAAACACTCGCCGTTTTTTTACCATTACACTCGTCGTTTTTTTTCCTTCAAAATTACACTCGTCGTTTTTTTTTCTTCAGAATTACTGGCGGCGTTTTTTTCAGGGATGATGTAGTAATCACACGCGACGTTTTTTCAATGCAATATTACACGCGACGTTTTTTCAATTCAATATTACACGCGACGGTTTTTCAATTCAATATTACACGCGACGTTTTTTCCAAAAATTACATTCGCCGTTTTTTTAGAGTTACGTAAAACTGAGGGTTTCACTTTGGACGAAGATGGGAGCAATCATAAGGTTAGTGTGTTTCATCAAAACAAAAAATCATGTAAATACAGTACACATGGCCAGAAATCAAATTTGCATATCTCGTTGAAATATGGCTTCTGCAGTAAACAGTAAATTATTGATTACGTGATGCTGTAAATCCCAAAAATCAGAGAATATGGTAGGTCGTTTGCAACTTGCTGAGGTCGCTGGCTCTAAATCAAACGTCGAAGTATTTAGCGTAATGTTGCCACTTGGTTTTAGTTAGTGACCATTCTGCATTTTCAGTTTTTGTACAGAGGTTAGTTTGTACGGAATTTGTCTATTTATATTTTATATATAAGGATACCGCACTGTCTATAGCCGTAGAAACAAACGAAAATGCAGAATAGGCAGTAACTTACACCAGACAAACACTACACGATATATTTCAACCGACCGTGTTCTGCAACCAGCAATCGAGGCAAACTGCTAACGACTACCAATATTCTCTGATTTTGCGATTAGAAGCATCGCGTAATATAATTTACTGTTTACTATCGAAGCCATACTTCACTGGGTTATGTATTAAATCGGATATTCAAAGTTAGTATGGTAGAATAATCATGTCCGTAATTTCTGACCATGAAATTTCACTTTCAGTCGGTTATGAATAAATGAGTAATCCATTGTTTTCAAGACACAAAAGCTTTTGTTTATATAGTTCGGAAAACACAAAAGAAAACATGCGTTATATATTCATAATTAACAGACTGGAAAGTGAAATTTCGTACTGTATATACATGATTTTTTGTTTTGATGAAACACTCTAACCTTATGATTGGTCTCATCTTCATCCGAAGTGAAACCTTCAGTTTACATGTAAAACGTAACTCTAAAAAAACGGCGAGTGTAATTATTGGAAAAAACGTCGCGTGCAATTATTGCATTGAAAAAACGTCGCGTGCAATATTGAATTGAAAAAACGTCGCGTGTAATATTGCATTGAAAAAACGTCGCGTGTGATTATTGCATCATCCCTGAAAAAAACGTCGCGTGTAATTCTGAAGAAAAAAAACGGCGGGTGTAATTTTGAAGGAAAAAAAACGACAAGTGTAATGGTAAAAAAAAACGGCTAGTGTTTACAGTCATGGTCCTTCTCGGCCATCGTAATTGGATCATCAAAGTATTTTTAACCCTGGGTATAAATGCTACTTATGGACCGTTCATTATTTTATGTCCTAGGTTGGAATGGAATTAAAATTCTTATATCATCTCATATATGACTCCCTAAATATTAAAGTACATGTAGATGAACATGTATATAGCTTCACCGCCCCACCCAAAAAAATTATGCGATTAAACTTAGTTAATGCAAATGTCCGACTATGAAGAAACAAATTTTCTATTTCAGCAGCGCATGTGATGTGATGTGGATATAGCTATTTTGTTTTTAGTTTTATTAATTAATTGCCTATAGGAGACTTTTAAACATATATTGATGTTTGTAAGTTTAAGACCACTTCAAAACGTAGCAAAAGTTTTTAGAAATTTTATCCTGAAATATATTCAAGTGCTTGTTTCTTTAAAATATTAAAATAAGCCATGACATATAGTCTATGTCTGTTGTTCTTGCGGAAATGACAAAAATATAGCATTTAAATTGGATTGGCATACCTCAAGGTCAATTTAATCAGAAAGTACATTCATTATACTTCTTATAAAAAAAATTGTTTTTACGAAATTGCAAACCTACCTGTTCCCTAGATGGTGAATTTGTAAGAACTTGTTTATATTATAAGGATATTTCATGTCAATTAACCAGGACAATGGATTTTGTTGTTATTAAGTTGGTATAGTTCTTATAGGCACTGTCTAATTACCATACTATAATTGTCTTTGCGTTCCTGTAGATGAAGTAAAAATAGTATTTCCTTTCTGACAATTGGTTTCAGTTATAGATTTCAGTTATAAAAAATTTCAAAGCCCATCGTTGCGTAGGTCATTGGAAAATTTCACGACCATCAAACCATGCACTCAGTCACTAGAACAAGTAAATGAAATTGTAGAACAAGTAAATGAAAATAATTGTAGAAAAAGTAAATGAAATTGTAGAACAAGTAAATGAATTTGTAGAACAAGTAAATGAAATTGTAGAACAAGTAAATGAAATTGTAACTTCGTTCATTGGAGAAGCAAAAACAAGTAATAAGTTAAAAAATTATTAGAAATATCTCCTCAGTCCGATTCTATGTCATCAGAATCTGATTCTAAGAAAGGGTGATGTGGTTACTGGTTATTTAAAAATTAATGCCTGTAGATGTGATTTTACTGATGCCATTACTGAACTATTATTAACAATAACATGATTAAGTTTTTATTTCATTGGTTGTGTGAAATCCTAAGCAATTATGAAACAAAAAATAAAATATTGGGTTTTCAGGACGCGACCATATAGGCAACTTCAGTTTTCCAAAAATTTTGACATGCTTGCCTTTTTGAGCCTGTTATAGGGCCGGGCTCCTTTAAGGGACCGTTCATTATTTATGGCGGGGATGGGGGGGGGGGGGTTGGCACCAAAAAGAAATGTTTTCGTGGCAAAAATTTTGCTGACCCAACCATTAAAAAAGTCAAAAATTTGATTACCCGACCTCACATATCATTTAAAAATAAATACCCACCCCTGGCCAAAAACTTCACAAAAGGACACTATTCAGTTGTCACATATGTCCTTTACCACTTCTGTGACGTATAAGTTTGATCATAATGGATTGTGAAATTTTCAGCAGTTTATTAAAGTTTCATGTTGTTTGCATATGTACTTTCTTTGTAGATACCATTTGTCGTGCAATAATTCGGAAAATGATCAAGAAAATATAGTGACTCTGATTGATGCACATATTTGTATTGACAAATGACTGAGACCTACTCTGGGGTAGTAACTCGCCTTAAATCGCCTAAAATTGAGGGTCAAAATTCACCAAAGTTCTCTTAAATCGCAAAAACTCGCCAACAGGAAAGCAGTAAAATATCCCACTAAATGCGGCACACACAACAATACTGTATATGTACTTTTCATTGTTTCTTTACACGTTTAGTCTAAATCTATAACACCAAGTTCATTAATTGCTGCTATTTTGTTAGCAAATCCATGTAAAGGCCCTGTCACACTATTGCGTATCGTACTAGCATATCCCAGCGTATGAAAAATATCACGTATACACCTGTATACGCTTGACATACGCTATGGCTACGTTAGGCATAGGTTGTATACGTTTCAAGCACTGTCGCATACCGGCATACGGTGGCATACGCTGGCATACGGCGAGGCAGAAAATTTTTTTTAAGCATGTTCAAACATTTTGTGTGTCGAACGTATGCTTTATACGATAAGCATACTCTAGGCACACGCTGAATACGCCAGAGGTACTCATACGCTGGCATTTCAAAGGATTTTGTGCGTATGGAAATTATTTCATTAATTTTCATACGCTTCTCATACGTTTCTCCTATACGCAATAGTGTGACAGGGCCTTAACCCAGGGGTTTTGCAATCAAAGTGATGCAACCTGGATAGTCGAATGTAGTTAACTAGGCACAATATTTTGCCACTTAATAGTTAACAGTTATGCATAAATAACAACAGTCTTATCACCGCCTTATGGAGACTTTATATTAATTGTGCTACTCTAGCTAGGATCTAAAAGACCCATAGGTCCCATACTCGACGTATTCAACTAGCAACAGAATAGTTAGTTAAATTAATTCATTATATAGAATCAATGTTAAAGGTAAGCTGGCTTACAGGCTATAATTATTTGTATGGTTTATAGAAGCCTAATTGCTGTGAATAAATTGAATAATTAATGTAGCACAATATCTAGTTGCACGATGACAGCACGAGAGTCAATCACTGTTGACTAATATTGTAAATATTTGTCATTAATTATTTGCTGTCAAACGACAACACGAGATCGCAAGCGAGATTTGCGAGTTTTACAACTTGATTAGCCTACCTATTACATACCATACATAAAACGGAGTTCTCAACATTTCCAGAAACTCACTTCCTGAACATTTGAGTACAATGTAGTGTGTCATTTTTTATAAACACTGAAGACTGAATCATATATATGTAATGTACATAATGATTTATAATGATATAATATCACGCAACTATTTCTATGAACTATTTTACTCACAGCGGTTACAGTCAAACCGGATGTTCTGTTCCCCTAAATATTGCAATATTGTTGGGAATATTGCAATTTGATTGCGAGATTGCTCTGAGCAAGTTACAACCGACGTGATCAAATTGCAAGTTGAAATTCACAACCAAATTTGTAAACAAAGTCTCTGATTGGCTACCAGTAGCAAAGAAGAACCAATCCATTTGCTCAGAGTATTTGATTGGTCCTTCTTTGCTACTATTAGTCAATCAGAGACTTTGTTTACAAATCTGGTTGTGAATTTCAACTTGCAATTTGATCACGTTTGTTGCAACTTGCTCAGAGCAATCTCGCAATCAAAATTGCAATATTCCCAACAATATTGCAATATTCAGGGGAATAGAACATGCAGTTTGACTGTAATACCATTAATATATCGCGGGCGCAATACAAAACTCGAAAATTTAAAAATGTTTTGATTTGCAAATATAAATATTTGATGTCATGAAATTTTTAAATTTAGCTCAACACAAACTGGTAAGTTCATGACATGTGTAATTTACTTATACTGTTGTTTTAGCACAAGTGAACGTAACAAATCCTACAGTTGATTGGTCAAATTTGACGTATTAAGCTGTTATATTTACCTGCAGGTGAATATAACAAAACCGAAATTTACAAAATGGGGGCTAGCCATTTTCTGGAAGTAACTGATAAAGAAATAAGCGAAATTAAAATAAATTCAGTCCAAAAAGCTTGTGTAAAAAATACTAAAACAATTATTCGCTTCAGGCTCGGTGATTATCGGGGAATATTCACTTCGACTTTGTTTCGGTCAATATTCCCCAATAATCACCTCGCCTTCGGCGAATAATTGTTAAATAGTGCAATTCTGTACTGTACACCCTTGAAAACTGTTTGCAATTGCATATAATGTGGTCATGTATTAAAGTATAGTGGTGTCATGAATTTAAGAGGAGATTTTTTACAATGTCGCGTAATTTTTTCGAAAAGCGCTCAAAATTAGCGACCAAGCCTTCGCGAAAAAATGCTGCTCCGCCATCTTGGTTTTAAAAGTTTCTCAAAATTTGTGAAGACAAACTGAACTTTTATACGGGATTTTCGGTTATGTCATCGGGCAAAATATTGATAAACATAAAGAAGGATAAAGTGGTAAGTGTAATATCATATTTAATCGCTGTTATTTGCACTATTATTATGTAAATATGCACATGTATCTGACTCAGGAGTGAGCATTTAAAGCTGCCATTTACAGTATTTTTTAAATAAATATTAAAACTGATTTGAAACTTGAAAGTGACTGCTCTCGTTTTCTGGATGATGGCCAGCTTGTTCACAGCTCGTATAGGTACGTGCAAAACTTTAATGAAAGCATTTTGCATTTTCAAAGAAGAAAATGAGTATTTTCAAATACAAATCCCTTTTATACTTAGATTTAATCATTTACAGCCATTATGTATATGCAACCTAGCTGCTGTCATACTGTATACAATCGAATAAAAATTTGAATTTCGCTCGTTACTCTGGTTTAAATAAATGATTAAAAAGCCCAGTCGAATTGTAATCAAGACCAAACGTTTCGACACTCCAGTCTAGTGTCTTCATCAGGCCAGGGGTGATCTAAAGTTGCAATCATGGCTTCTTAAATACACGAGGGATGACGTCACCTGCCAATGAGATGCATGTATTCTTCTGGGCTTTGTAATCATTTATTTATTTAAACCAGAGTAGCGAGCAAAACATGAGTAGCGAGAGAAACAAGGAGCCAAGCATGTCAAAACAAGTTGCCTATATGGTCATAAAGGCCCAATACTTTATTTTCTTGTCGGTGAATTGTTTCAGATTTAACCCAAAATATCCCCCCCCCCCCCAAATTCTCAAGTAAATCCACCCCTCTATTAGCTAAACAAAAAAATGCTTCTTTCTCAGTTCTTTTTCACAGCTCTGGTATTTTTATAGATATCTGTGATATTACAATTACAACATTGAAGATATGATCATCTGACAACATAGACAAGATTCTCATGAAAGACTATAAACTGTATTTCTAATATTCACACAAGAATGGATTGTAACATAATTAATTAAATTAACAATCTGTGATTTAATAAATATTCATTTTCATCTTGTTTCATTTCTTGTTTTCATCAATATCCTGCAAGAAAAGATCTTAGAAATTCTGATATTTTGCAAACTTATTATATGTATGCATGATTTAACCCATTGAGTGGCAGCACAGCACTCTCCCCCTGACGAGTAAAATCGTCTGAAATAATCTGGCGTTAGACAAAGTAAAATAATAAAGTAGGGCGCATCTGGGTGGCCGTGCATTGCCACTTATTGGGCTAATTGATGTTTGGCCCGGTAGAATTCCTCGAATTTAGGTCCCGTACACCTATGTTTTTTAAATGAACAAGAAATAAGAAAGTATGCTGAATTAGTTTTTATAATAAAGAGGTTCAGACAAGGGGATTTTTTAATGAAAGCTGGGTTTGCCTGATTAGCATGACAACCGCCTGATAAGCAGCATATCACTGTGTAGCTTTGCACAAGATCTCGCTTGAAAAAAATTAAACTTCTGTTACCGCGATAAGCATTTTCCCATATAAATACACTAACCAGGCTGGCTTTGGTCAAGGGCTGAAGTAATTAATTTAACATCAGCACAAACCTAAAATTATCTGTAGCCTGTAGGTTCTTAGCCAATGAGAAGAGAGTACAATTAATAATACTAAAACTAATGACAGATTGCACTACTTAAATAACTGCAATAAAAATTTTAAAAAATGCATTGCACATCAAAGGCCAGTTGTAGGCCTATATGTTGCATAGGTTTTGTAAAGATAAAGCTTCTATTTCTATTACTGTTGCCATGATAACCACTTTTTCACGATTTCACATGTGTACAACGTCATGCTGAGGCATTTGTTGAACAGCTCTTTCATATCATTAATAGAGGTTACTTGTGAATTTTCTGAAGTCCAAACATATATTTCCTTAAACTTCATAGAGCCACCTTAATATAATATCATGAAATTGAAACAAGGAAAGCCAATAAAAATGACCAAATTCTGCGAGGACCTCCCACCCCGATTTTCTTCAAAATTCAATATTTTAGCCTACATTAAGTGTTCTTTCCTCACAATAAAGCTTACAATTGTCGCACACACAGTTTAGGAAAAATATTAGATTTTTACATTCAACGCCTAAATATTTGCTCCCATTTCAGACTTTCAACCAATGTATCATAATCAATATTCCAATATTTTTCTTTTCAATTTTGCTTTTCAATCTTTCCCATTTTAATACTACTATTGGTATCTATAGATGCTGTGTTTTTATATTTTGAAAAATCAACAACAAATTTACTTATTTCATAGCAGAAATAGAAACCTATATAATTTTTTGTAAACAGTTGGCAAAATGGCTGACTTGAGGTCAAAACATCAAAAATCCTCCCACTCTGATTTCTTTCAAAAATTGTGATTTAAACCTTCACTAAGTCAACTAAACATCCAATAAAGCTTAGAAGTGTCGCTCACACGGTTGTATAGAAAATCGAATTTTTAGGCAATTATTATACTTTTGAAATTTGTTGTCAAAATGGGGCAAATTTTATACAAATTTGTCACCCAAAATTGACACTTAATAGTCGATTATTTTTTTACAGGCATCAAATTATGTCACTTTATATCGAGAATATCCAGCTACGTGACTATATAAAAATTATTGAGATTTATGCACGATTGAAGCAGTAATAGGATAAAATATACACAGCGACCATAACTTCCATGAGCAACAAGGGAAAATAAACAACTTTTAGGAAATAAATTCCCAATGATTGAGGAGTAAGGCACACAGCTCAAACCACTTTACAGTTGCTACAAAGTGTGGTAATGGACCTCTCTTTACAAAAAAATCAGCAAGATATAATGTTGTTTAATGTGAAAATAGAGTTCCCAAAATTGTCATACCTGAGTAACTTCTGTCGTCAAACATCACTCCTGCTTTGCCCTTCCACAAATTGAAAGTGGTCGTTTTATTCCAAAATTGGTATATCACGGCTGTAGGAGCTCCGAGTAGACTAACCATGATATGCAGAATTCATTTCTGGTATTTATTTTAAAATCCAACTACTTCCCACTCGAATATTTAGCCAGCAATTTATCGACTTAAATTTTGACCTAGCCATTTGCGAAAAAAACAACAAATTGCTCCATTTTCGCGCAAAGCATGACGGTGTTTTTGAGCGCCAATTACTCGATATTCTAAAAAGTCTCCTCTTATTACCCCAATGGCATCGGAATAGACAATGGATAAAAAGTTATGAATATTGAGCTTATGGCTGCCGTAGGCAGCACACTATTCTTGACAACTGATTTTGACGTCATGAATCGTGCCGGTTTCCTTGACCGAGTTTATAACGATGCAGCTTGAATCAAAATATAGAAGAAATTTGGATTTCTGTTAGACGGTAATTGCTCTAAGTCGCCGTAAAGCTCTCGCTCTTTACTTTCCGCCATGATGAAAAATATAAAAAACGATAATTTCTTCACAAATAAACGACAATAATTTCGTTAGAAAATTATTTTTTGCAGGTGCGTTTTAGCCAATTATTAATCACGGTGTTGCCAATGTTTACTTACTGTATTAGTAATAAGTTTATATTGACCGTTTAAATATCATGACGAATAATGCAGGCATGTTCAATGTTGGCAAATGTTGTTATGATTTACGAAGAAAAATGTGAAAATAATTGAAGACTTGACATTAAGGCTCTGCTCACACGCACAGGGTATATAACTATTAACTCAACGACGAAGGAAAACATCGAAATGACGTATAGTGTTGTATAGTGTCGTATAGTCTTGTATAACGTTGTATAGTCTTATTTTATAGTCTTTTATAGTCTTGTATAACAATCGTCTATAGTGTAGTATAGTGTTGTATAGTCTTGCATAGTGTCATATGGTCTTGTATAACGTTGTATAGTGTCGTATTTAAGAAATAGAAAACGAGTCGCGTGCGTTTATGGTGTGATAATGCACGCGGGGAATGTTGGGAGAATACGAGAGAAGCGTGTAAAACACGAGGCGTAGCCGAATGTTTTACACGCTTCTCGAGTATTCTCCCAACATTCCCCAAGTGCATTATCGCACAATAAACGCACGAGACGAGTTTTTCTATTTCTTTTATAATATAAGTAGAAGATATTACATAGTAAACAATTTTACTCAAAAGATCGACGTTGAAATTCTCCTTACATGTACTCAGTGACGTCACGCGCATGCTTTTACTCATTCACTGTTGCTTGAATTTTTAAGCGAGGGAAGGAGCAAAATTGTCAAAACAATATAGAAACTTTTGATCTTATAAAGCCGGAAAAATTGTTTAAAATAGTGGAAATAAAAAAAGCAGCGATACACAGACTAACTTGCCAAAATTTTTCAGCATCTGGGCTGCTGGATTTGCCATGAAAGACGATAAATCGTAGGTTTCGTTGCGTGTAAACTCAGTTTTAATTTTCGAAATATTTGTATTTTTTATCTTTCGCCGAAAATATATCTAGCAGTTATTATCAGAAGAATTGAAGGTACTTTCTAAATCACTTGTATTCAGTTTTTGTCGCCTTTTTGTATGTATTTGATCTTCCAGCTGTATCTTTTTCAAGTTTTTTCCCCGACTATTTTGTACGCTTTTACCCAAAACTTGTCGAGACAACAACAAATCCGACGAATACCAAGCCGGTTTATTCTACACATAGAACTATAAAAAAATGCTTTGTTCCTTTGGTCTATTCCTTCTTGCTTTCTGGTAAATTTTGCATTTTAAAAGCTCAGTCTATAGTTTTGTTAATATTTTTGGCTAAAAAGCAGAGATGAAGCGGGGAAAAAAACAGAGAAAGAGCAAAGCAGTGCTACAGAATACAGATCACAGTGCATCATTGCGTCACAATGCACGCACATTAGCCAATCAAATCGTCTGTTATATCCCACTTATATTATAAAGCCTTATATATTGTTGTATAATCTTGTATAACGTTGTATAGTGTCGTATACTGCCGTATAGCCTTATACAGTGTTGTATAGTCTTGTATACTTTTGTATAATGTTGCATAGTGTCATTTAGTATCATATAGCCTTATGTAGTGTTGTATAAGTCTTGTATATAACATTGTATAGTGTTGTATAGCTTTTAAAAAACTCATTAATAATTCATGAAGAAAACACAAAGAAAAATCATAAGCGTGTCGTATCTGTATATGTGATACAGATTCATGTTGATTTACATAAACTTTAACTTTGATTTTCTCGGCTTAGACAACGTTTATTTTTAAAACTACTTTGCCAATGAACTCATAAGATGAGCCGTTTTTTAAGTTGTTTCGGCTCGAGTTTGTATATCTGATACAACACGGCCGCTCATGTTGTAAACATTACATATATTGTTGTATAGTCTTGTATAACGTTGTATATAGCATTGTATGTACTATTTACAACATGAGCGGCCGTGTTGTATCGGATATACAAACTCGAGCCGAAGGCGAGAGTTTGTATATCCGATACAACACAGACGCGAATGTTGTATAAATGACTTAAAAACGACTCAGCTTATGAGTTCATTGGCGAAGTAATTTTAAAAATAAACGTTGTCTAAGACGAGAAAATCAAAGTAAAAGTTTATGTAAATCAACATGAATCTGTATCACATATACAGCTACCACACGCTTATGATTTTTCTTTGTGTTTTCTTCATGAATTATTTGATGAGTTTTTTAAAATGTCGTATAGTCTTGTATAGTTAACATTGTGTAGTATCGTATAGCCTTATATAGTGTCATATAATTAACATTGTATAGTATCGTATAGCCTTATATTGTGTTGTATAGTGTTGCATAACGTTGTGTAGAGTTGTATAGTCTTCTTTAGTGTAGTATAGTGTCATGTATAATCTTGTATAGTGTCATAATTTATATAAGTTTTGTTGTATATAGTGTCGTATATACAACCTTATATATTGTTGCATAGTCTCGTATAACGTTGTATAGTGTTGTATAGTGTTGTATAGTGTTGTATAGTATTGTATAGTGTTGTATAGTGTCGTATAATGTCGTATAGCCTTTATATATTGTTATATAGTCTATAATGGTATATAGTGTTTTATAGTGTCGTATAGCCTTGTATATTATTGTGTAGTGTCGTATAGTGTTGTATACTCTTGTATAGTGTCGTATATAGTCTTGTATAACGCCTTATAGTGTCGTATAGCGTTAAATAGTGTTGTATAGTCTCGTATAACATTGTATAGTGTTCTATAGCCTTGTATAGTATCGTAAATTCATTAATAAGTTTACCTGCTAACAAGATATGTAGCGTTTGACAGTTCTTTGTAAAAAAACATGATACAGACAGATAGGATATATAATAGTGTTTTGCGCTTTATTATTAATAGTGTTATGGTATATATAACAGTGTTGTTATGGTATACATAATAATGTTATGTTTCTATTGTTAATAGTATTAACAGTCCTTGGCTCTTGTGCATTATATTTATCCATTATTAATAGTGTTATTAACTGTGAGTCATTCCAGGTTATTACTCTAGAAGTGACCACACTTGACTTTGTGTCTAAGAATATTGCAAAATCCGCAAATTAACCTTAGTGACAATCGCATAATAGCTAAATGTGTGGAGGTAGCTCTGCGGGCCACATTATTATAAGTAATAGCATAAAAAAAGGCGAATTAGCTATTAAAACGTCCCGCCCGATGAGGGTCGTTTAGTACAATTCCTTGGGCGCCGCTCGATGAGGGTCATTTAGTAAAATTCCCGAGGGCCGGACGTTTTCAATAGCTAGTTCGCCTCCTTTTATGCTATTACCTTATAATAAATAATCGTAACAATAAATAATGGTAGAAATTAAATGGTATAATTGTTTTCCATGTCTTTGTTTAGTTTTGGCGAATTCAGATATCTTCAATTATATTCATTTTTTCTAATCGTACCCGCTTTGACGTCGTATCGGGTAGGATTAGAACTAATCCTACGTAAAAGCGGGTAGGATTAGAAAAAATGAATATGATGAGGCGTATTAGTTTTTAATTGCCCTGGGAGAACAAAGGGAAGACCCGCAATCATGATATGATACATATATTGTCGGAGAAATAATCTGTGGTATGATCCATTATCACTTAATTTCTATTAGCTACTATTGTTTGGAGTGCTCAGAAAATGGACCCGTTTCATTGCAGAAAACTGTTTTTTTAATTTTAGATAATTAGAATATTGTTGTAACATATATGCACGCGATTGTTACAATAAAATACGATTTTCATTGTTTAAATATTATAATATATAAATAGTATACAGACAGTATAAATATTATAATTTATACTGTCTTTTAAAATTGCTGGTCGCTGGTAATTTTTTTAAGGAAACTGTAATGTTCTCCCATAGCACTGACGCAGAGTACTTGAAAGTAAATTTTCCAAAATTTGTTCTTATTTTTGGCCGATAAAAGTTGCATGCCTTGCATTGCAACTATGAATATTTTTCACAGGCATTAAAAAGTTATGATATAATGAGGGAACACTTGAAGGGTTGACAAACAATTTATGTGTTAATATAGCAGTTTTTAATTTGACAATAATAATAATAATAATATTTTATTTTCACACAAATTGTTACACTATATTGGTAAAGCCGAAGCCATAGGCTTATTTGGCAAAACTATTTAAGAGTATAGCTCGTGGTCAGTACAGAGAATTAAGTATGAATTATTCCAACTGAGTATATAATAAAAAAAGAAAACTAAAAAACCCAACCGGAAAAAGCATTTAAATTAGTATAGATAATTCATGCTTTATAGAAAGCAGTATATGCAGCATATATACAGCCAAATTTCAGTCCTTCTTTTTATCCCAGAGCCATTCCACATGCACATGTCAACCATTCTGAAAAGTTAAATAGTAGTTCTTTAGAATACGTCTAAAATTTTGAGTTGTCAATGATTGCCGAATTAAAAGAGGGATAGAATTCCAATTTTTCGGGCCTTGCGCACGAATGGAAAAAGAATATTTATGGGAAATGATATGCAAATCCTGTCTATGCCTTGTAAAATGATCATGGATGTTATAATTGAACTCAAATAAGCAAGAAATGGGTGAAGGAAGGAGATTGTTAATGTGTCTAAAAATAAAACACGAAAGTTGAAATTCATAAATCTGAAAGACAGTGAGGATATTTAATTCCTTAAAGGTGATCTACAGTCCGTATGTAAACAAAGCCTTTGTTTACATTTTTGTGTCCAAAATATTGAGCTTTATTCGACAACTATTTATATTTTCAAGCTTCTAGAGTATAATAAATGATCAAGAAACAACAATCAGGCTTTTCAAGAACTCAAAACATAGTTAAACTGTTTGCATCATAAAAAGTGGGCTCATTTGTGCACATGCGCAGTCGGACTGTAGATTACCTTTAAAGAGTGGTTTGGAAGGAGTGAGAGGGGGAGAATGTGTAATAATTCTCATGATTTTTTTTTTGACATCGAAGTAAAGGATGAAGATGTGTTGTGTAAGATGATCCCCAGATAATAGTGCAGTACTGTAAATAAGGCAAGATAAAAAATTGTATAGTACTGAGAGTGTTGATCTATCAAGAGAATGACGAGATTTTGCAATTATTCCAATGTTTTTGGAAATTTTTGTAGTGATTAATTGTATATGTGGGATCCAGGACAAATTTTCCTGGATAGTAATTCCCAGAAATATGGTTTGGCTAACCCTTTCTATTAGATGTCCATTGATTTTTACCTCATCCTGTGGGTCGATGTTTTTTCCTGCTGGGATGAAAGAGTATAAACTTGGTTTTATCTGGATGCAATGTAAGTTTATTTGCCCTAAGCCAAGAAGCAACTTTAACAAGTTCATAGTTGAGTGTGTTAATAAGGGACGTTATGTTATTGTCACTATAAAATATATTTGTGTCATCTGCGAATAGTATAAAAGATAAGCAGTTGGATGTATTAAATATATCATTTATAAACACAAGAAAAAGTAATGGTCCAAGAACCGAACCTTGGGGAACTCCGCATTTAATAATTTTAGGTGAAGATTGAACATTGT